TCAACCCACCCTACCTAGGGACAACCCCCCCAGGCATAATCTTCTTTTTCGCCGTGTTGTTGTCCTCCCCCTGGCCATTCAACGTCGTCAACCCGTCGTCCACCTCCCTGGCATACACCCCGGTGTCCCCCCCCTCCATCTTCCCAATCATCTCCCTCGCCTGCTCAAACTTCTTCCTCGCCTCCTCCGTCTTCCCCTGCAGCGCAAGAATAGACCCATAATTGATCACCGCCGCAGCACAAGCCTGATCGCACTCCTCAGTCCTCTCCTCCCCCGTCGTCCTCTTCGCCTGCGCAATCGCGTTCTGCGCCCATCTCTCCGCCGCCTCTAAGTACGCAGAGCGCTGCTGCTTGGCTGTAGCAAAAATCTTGGAGGCGTCTTGCTCCATCAGAGCATCAACGGGGGATTCACCGGGTGGGAGGAGGGGGTGTTCGGCGAATGAGGTGGATATGTTTGACACTAGACGCATGTTAGTGAAAATTTGGTCAAAAAAGGGAGATGAAATAAAAAACATACTAAGCATGGCTGTATGGCATGGTTGATCGCACATTCTTAGTGCTTGGAAGAGAAGAGGCACGGCCAAGTGATGCTGGGCCTGGGCTTGGTAGTCGTGCGCCAGAGATTCGAGCGTGCCGCCGATTTCCTCGGGTGTCATCCATTTGCCCTCTCCTTCTTTGAGGGGCTCCTTTTGCCGGCGAGCCAGTTCTCTGAGGTTGGTTTCCACGGCCCAGACGAGCTTCTCGTGGGCGGTTTCCCGCTCTAGAACATGGTCATCAGAGTAGAGAGAGGCGAGCTTAACAGCAATGCCAATCGACTTCATCAATAGACGTGTGCGCTTGCCGCGGAAAGTTTCTTTTGGCTGAATAGGTGTGCCGTCTGGGTTGGTTGGTGGTGGTGGTTGTTGCTGTTGTTGAGCAGCCGCCTCTCCTTCTGACTTGGCTCCTCCCTCTTCCTCAACCGGTGGCGGTGGGATAACAACCATCTTGACCTCGCCCGGTGTCTCACCTTCCACAGCCTTGATAGCATGCTGAGGCTTGTAGTTCTTTTGCCCCGGCAAAATCTCCTCCTTTTCCGCCTTCTCAAACGCAACGATCCAGCGCTGGCAGTCAGAGAGCAGGTTCTCGAGAATGTGAATAGCGTTGCGGTGGTTGTCGATCTTCTCGAGCCAGTCGGCGAGCTTGAGCTTGATACCCATCACCTCGTCGGAGAAGTGGTCGAGTTTGTGCTCCTGGCAGAGCTCGATAGCCTGCTTGTAGTAATGCAGCGCGCGCTTGGTGTCCTTTTTGAAGTCACCAAAGTAGAGAGCTTTCCTCAACGCGAAGGCGACGTCCTCGGGGAAAACGGTGAACGTGGGAGAGTTGTAGTAGGCAAAGTATTGGTAAAAGGTAAAAGCGAGGAAACACATGGAGAGTGTCGCACCAACGGCGCCGATGACCAGACCGATTGGCTCTTCCTTCCATGTCTGTTTGAGCGATGTCTTTTTCGTGATTTCCCATCCTCGCTTCATGTCCCTCTTCCATAGCGTCCAGAATGTTGACCATAACCCCTTCTTGAACTGTTCCTTCTGAGCCTCTCCTTGCTCGCCCTCTTTCCCCTGCCCTTGTTGTTGACCTGTCCCTTGTCCACCGCCCGGTGGTGGGGTTGTCGACTTTAGACGGCCTTGCTGGTCGATTCCGAGGGATTGACGAGCTCCATTGAGCGCTGTTTGCGGGCTTCTTCGTGGTGTGGAAAGTAGTCTCTGCGCTCCTACAGCCCGTAGACCGGCTATTCTTGGAACCGGCATGGTGAAAGCTGGGCAATTCCCACTTCTGGTGATGCCCCTTGAACCTGGAGTTGAAGGAAACTTTTGGGAGCTTAGGTCATAGCTCTTGGCAGCTCTCTCCGGAAGCTTCGCAGATAAGACAATAGTGCCTGAGGCACCAAACCGTCCCTTTCTTGGCGGCCGCTGCACGTCATTGCCCAGGTCCCAGCCTGATCCCTGTCGAGCCGCCACCATCCCGAGGTTCATCTGTTGTCTCAACTGAACAATCACAAGATTCTTGACTCAGGGTTCTCCAGTACGTAAGTATTTCTTACCTGCTTTCAGGCTCCGCCAGATCTAACAAAGCTATTCAGAATCAACGAACCTTTCTGTCTGACCGAAAGCTGTATGTTTCCCTTTTCTGCCGGTGGTAGCTATTTTACCCCGCCCCCCACTTGAGCTCGCCATCAGCTTCCCCTGAGCAGCCCCCCCCCCCCCCCCCCTATCACCAACACAACGACATCTCACCACTAACATCGTTCACTCAGCACATAAATCCCACATCACAAAATCTGTCAAAATGTCCGGCAAATTCGAACCCAAAACCCCCGTCCAGCTCAACCCCCCAAAGGACGACCCAATCTCTCTCTCGGAGCTGGCCAAAGCAAACGGTATATCTACCACCCTTTCACCCTCACACATGTTCTAACTCAAAAAACAGGTGAACAAGCAGACGGGAAATGCTACGTCGCCATCAAGGGCCTCGTCTACGACGTGACGGGCAACAAGGCCTACCTCCCCGGCGGCGCCTACCACGTCTTTGCCGGAAAGGACGCCTCCAAGGCCCTGGGCAAGACCTCGACAAAGGTCGAGGATGTGGATGCCGACTGGTCTGGGCTGACGGAGAAGGAGAAGGGGACGTTGAATGATTGGGTTACGTTTTTTAGTAAGAGGTATAATGTTGTGGGAAGGGTGGAGGGGGCTACGAATTTTGAGTAGAGGTTGGGATGAGGAGGAGAAGGCATGGGGGGGGGGGGTTATAGAGGGGGGAATAAATGATTTGATGTGATTACTTTGATTGGGTGCTGATGTGTGGAATGTTCCCTTGAGTTGATCTGATGATGGGGGAAAGTTGGGATGGTAAGTTGGGATGGAGGATGATACAACGAGGGGACGAAAGCTTGGAAAGTACGGAGGATGTATGTCCCCGGTAAAGATGGGTCTTGGTTCAGCCTCTGGTGCACGTATTTTTAATCCTTGGAGTCTTATTATACCAGAACTAAAGTATAAATCAAAAAGAAAGGCCTGTCTGTACCTCTTCGTAACGCATGGCTCGAATGAGAAAATGCGTAAAGCTTTCCGCGGTCTCTGAAGGAAGTTGCTAGGGGTTTTTAGGGCCGCGCCCTTGACCGTCGTGCTTGTCCACGAGGTAAGTACCGCGCCAACTGAACACAAAGAACAGTCGTAACTCTTGTGAAAGTCTAGTGGCGTGGTGTGATGTATGGAAAACGTTACACCCGGCCTTCTCGGAGTTGTTTTCAATATGTTAAAATGTAGGCAGCTACCTAACGTCAGTTTGGAAGAATCCAACTGACATCAGGGAGGTATTGTTGAGGATTAACCATTAACCCATTCATGAATTCCACATCCCCCACTTCTCGGCCGCTGACCCCCTCTGCTGGGTTTGATGTGTGACATTTGTACCATATGAATTTTTTCACCGTTTCCATGGAATGTCTCCCTCTCTACCCATGTCCCACCTTCAACCAACCCCTACATATCTCAACTACCTACCCGCATGTAATTCCCCGGCCCCGACTGTCAACCACGTAGCGTGTGTCACCTTCACCTTCTTAGACACCCTCTCTTCAGTTACCGAACACTTCGGTAGGTAGTTCTTCCAACAGCAAAGGATACCCGCATCCGATATAGACAAACTAACTGTTCATGTAAGCTCCCCAACCGGGGGCGGGGGGGCGGGGGGGGGGGGGTTTGTTCCCAGCCATCATCAATCATGCTCCCGGCCGGCAAGCAGGCGAGCAAAATTTTCCCCAGTCCCCATTGGAAAAGGGGTTGGAATATTCCATCAGCCGAGTATGTAACACAGGCGCCCATGTACGGGAAGGCAAGGAAGGAAGCCGGCAGTGTGTGGCTCATCATGTGCCAGATGGTCTATGCGACCTAGGGAAAACGGGGGTTGCAGATATCAAGGGGAAAATACCTACCTACCTACCTTGGTATCCGTCGTGGGAATAAAAAAAGTAGTTCATGATTGCCCATGGCGGGTTCGGACGTACAAAATGGCTTGGGACAGACAGACGTGGTTCGTCCATTCCCGTCCGCGTCCGCGTGTTACCGCATGATAGAAGGAAGGAGGGAAGGGCACGGGAGATGACACGAAGGTTTCTTTCCCGAGGGTGGGACGTAATTCGGTGGAGGCGACGAAAGAAAAAAAGAATGGGCTAGTTTTTTTTACTCAGTGTCAGCGAGTTTCCTCCTGGTAGTAGTAGATTACTGGAACAACCTTTATCCCCAAAGTCCCCCGCCTAACAAGGCGAGAGGACAAAAGATATAGGTATGTAGTACAATCTCGGGAGACTCGGTGATAAGATAGGTGGGCAATGTAGGTACCAGAGTGTGAGACTATATGTAGTGGACTGTTACTGTTCATCATCATGGCAAAGAGTGATTGGATTGCTCTTCTCCTCTACAAAAAAGAAGTGTGTTCTTTTCCCACAAACTGTGTAACAGTGAAACGCCCCCCTGAATGAACAAACCATGAAAACTCTATTCTGAACTCCGACAACACCAAGAGACAATCTTCTGGCTCCCCCATCGAGATGAATCAGAAACTGGCAACCGTGGCCGATGGATGGTCTGCAGCGAAGGACCAATGGCTGGCTGGAAAAGTCTAGGCTCGACCGCCTTCTTGGTGTTAGCACTGGATGGAAGTATCTGACAGCTGACCTCTGACGTACCTTGACTGGACCCGTACCAACCGCTCATCATCTGGGCGTGGGCCTCAGCTGCCTGCTTTGCAAGACAAGCGTCACATGGACGGCCTTGGTCCCAGCAATGGCGTAGCCGCTTTACAAAGTTGCAGGCGTGGCCCGGGTTGTTTCGGGCTTTATGGCAGTATGACTTGAGCCGGAAGTCTGAGTGCTCACAGGACCAAATGAATTCCTCGTAGTCGCACATACCGACGGCAAGGGGCGAGGTAAAAAGGGGCGAAGCGGGTTGACTGTGTTGGTGCTTGGTATCCTGAGATTCTAGAAAGCAGTCTTTCAAATGACTAGACAAGATTCGTCAACAACCTCGAGACGAGACTTTTAGCCCACAGTAATGACTGGAAGAGGGTGATCTGAAATTGCTCCGAGAAGATAAAAAAACGGCGATTGAGGCATCTATATACCCCTTCCAAGCACCACATAGCTGCCAGTCACGTTTAAACCGAGACTTCTCGATCGATAGTCGGAGGGTGCACATCATCACACTGCACCTAGGAGCCTGGATCTTTGTTGGATATGACGACGCCAGCCATCCACCTGTGAGACGACAAGGAGCTGTGTGGGTGCCATGAAGTGACAGCACATTCGGGTAGGATCTAATCACATAGTGCGTCGAGCGGATCTAGGCCATCTGTGAGTGATTGTTAAAGTCGAGCCTCTGCTCTGCAGTTGTGCTGCTGCAAAGACTGGGTCCTCCTCGCACACCTTACACCATCTGCAACGAAGCAAACAACCAGGAGTGGGGGTCGCCCGGCGCAAATTACCCAACTGACGCCTGGTGGCCGACATCAGACCAGCTGAGACGGACCTCGCCGGTCTTTGGTACATCAACCGACCCGGAGAGAAGAAGGGATGTGGTGATGAGATTCCCCGACCTCTCTTGTGCGCAAAGATATCTATAAGTATGAGGATATCGACCAGTATCGAGACGTGGTGACTTGATAGCCTCCCGAGAGCATAACCCTACAGAAAGGGTGACGGTAGGAGATGCGGAGCGAGTTCGGACTGGTTGGAGGCGATATCAAGGTCTCCCTGGCACTGATGCCTGCGAAGGCCCGGTATAGCGTGGCCATAGGGCATCGGCCCGCATTCGGGAGGCGCGATGGAAGTCAAGCCGGGGACAGTAGTGTTGAAGCTTCTCAGGCAAACATTGCTTGGTCTGCTGACGCTTGTGGGGTAAAAGATGGATCTGACGCTGCTTGAAAATGGTGAACAAGAGAATTTGGGGTTTGGAGAGGGTATGATATATGACCTGTCTTTTATTTCTCAGATGGTGGCTTGAGCCGAGTAAGCAAACATTCCTCGCCGTGCTTTGGGACGCCCGCCTTCTAAGCCGATTCAGGCAGCCATGATGCGGAAAAGGAGACCGGCGAGAATTTGGTGTAAAAAATTGAGGCTCGCGGCCTATACAAGTTACACAGCCGAATGCCTTGTCCAATCCAGAACAGACCGCCAAGGCCCATCAGAAGCAGCCACCCGACAGGACTCCGATGAACTTGTGGTCGAAGAGAAGCCGCGCTTGACGGTCCGATACAGATCTGCACTTCGGGGCTCTTCCCCGGAGATGCTAACCTGGCAGGTAACAATACGCGAGGGAGCAAAGGTGTCAAGGAGCCCACAGCCCTGCTGTGAGTTGATGGAGTGGTGTCACTTTGTCTCCCCAACAAATCGGAAAGTCAAGCCCTTCACCACCTGGCATTCCTCTGGCAGTTCGATGGCGCACCGTACCACCTCATACTTGTCCGTTTCATACCCACACAGAGCATCCTCCTACATGCTATTCTCGACAGTAAAGGCGTAACCATCGACGATCGCCTTGTTGTGATCCATCCTTGAAGGCGCATCAACGAGGGCCTTGTACTTGTTTCCCCAGACCTTGAGCAAACCACCTCGCACTCTAGCAGGCTTGTATACAAGTTCGTCGTCGAGGTTCATGTTTTCTTTGAGAACACGGGGGGTCTGCCAGCGTTCCGTAGACAAAGTAGAGGACTGGGTATTGGTCCTGCGCTGGAAGGCAACGGAACGGGTGATGAAAGTGGGCTTGAAAGTCGAATGCCCAGTCTGGTTCAAGTATGACATGATGTGGTTCTTACGTTCTGCCCCTACGATCTTGCAGAAGTTGGCCGAATCACCGTCATCGCCAGCGCCACTGAAGATGGGTGGGGTTGTGTCCAGGCCAGCCGCTGTCTTGACCTGCCCGGCAGTAGCCAATGGATGTTCAAGCTTAAGCAAATACGTCTGTAGTCGGGCGTTACTCTTCTTGCTTTGGCGTGAGTTCATGGTGCTGACAGTTGCATGTGTGAATTGGGTCAACCAGAGAGCATGCTCATATGCCTCCTTGTCGTACCCCTCGGCATGTTTCTCCGCGGCGATCATCTTTCACCCTGCATCAGACAAGGTCAAGCGGCTGTCATCTTTTCTTTGTTCCTGGATTTGGCGGACGGCCTCAGAGGCCGTGTATGAGAATGGTGATTGCCATCGCTGAACTGTTGGGCCATCTGGCTCATCATCGGCAGTGGACTGCTGGACGGCTACCTGGCTCCAGAATTCCAAGGCAAGGAAGAGGCTCTCGACGTGATCCCTCGTGAGGTTGCTGTGGTGTTTAGTAAAAGAATACTACCTGATGAGTTGAATGAGTCGGAAAATGATCGTGTTAAGGTTGATCATGACTTTCTGAATTTTGACTGGGCGGCCATGATTAAGGTTTTCATCACCACACCTGGGAGCTCCATGGCGAGTGCCACAAACCCTGCACTAGAAAAAGCCATCGTAGCTTTCCGAGACTGAAAACAAAAAGGAAAAGGCAAGTGCTTGAGAAATTTCACGCTCCTATGATCCTCCGATCCTGCTTCCACGAGAGTGTACACTGCTGATTCTGTTGTAGATGTGGAAGCACAAGGTGTGACTTGGCAGTGTAGCACAGCCAAGTGTCATCCAATCAAGAGATGTCAGTGGTGACCCACGTGACCAGGCGACCATGAGTTGTGCTCAGCTTTGCGAACTTGTAGGCGTTCTTCACCGAGCCTGATTGGCCTCTCAGCCAACCGGTCAGTCGCAAGTCACCGACTTCCCTCAAACAGAAACTTCCAGGTTGGAAAGTGGAAAAGTGAGGCGGCCGATGTGTGCTCTCAGTGCTCCTGTGCTCTGCCAAGCCTGGCACTGCTGCCTGTCATCCATCCCCTTTCCCAATTCCCAATTCCCAATTTTCACTCGACATCGGCTCCCTCTCTCCCATTTCACTGCACAAGTCATTTTGAGACGACATCATTGACGCAAACGTTTGCCTGGAATTCCATTGTTTGATCATCCCACTCCAACAACCTTGATCTCCGTTCGTCGCCCTCCAACCATCACCAGCCCGCGCCCGCCCATTCACAACTAGTGGCAATGTCTGGCTGAGTCGGGCAACTCCAGCTCTTGCACCGTGAACTGCGCCCGACGACTGCGGTCTTCTGACAAACACTGACAGAATCGGGTGTATTTCTTTTGCCCGTTAGTAGACCTTTTTCATATCTTCCATCCATAGTTGTTGGCCTTGTTGTCGAGCATCCTCGAATCTCAATTCGAGGTCTAGAACGCCAAGACGTTTACCCGTTCCTCTCCTTGTCCGTTCCAAGATGGACTCCATCAGGAAGCCAACTGTACAGGCCTCCTCCCTGTTGACACCTTCTTAGACAACCACCTTAACTTGACGACATACGTTCTCACGATTGCCTCGTCGAATAATACAAGTCGTCCAGGCAGTCATCACGGGGGGCCGGCATCATGTCGCAGCTTCCGCGGTACTCTTTCGCCCACCTGGCCGAGCATGCTCCCATCTCTGACTCGTCCCAAATGGCGGGCATGACCAGGCCATCGGGGGCTGGTATCAACAACTACACAGCATATGCCATGATGCAGGACAATCTGGGCGGCTTGAGTACCTATGGCAACAGACATGTCCCGCAGCAAAACATGATGGCAAGCACGTTGAACGCCAGCGATTTCTTGAAGAATTACCGTATTGTCAAAAACTCTCAACTAGCCACAGCACCAGTCTCATGGAGAGACTCTGATTTCACCGCACCTATTTATACCGAGTATCGAAACAATGCACCCCCGTCTGAAGCAGAAACGCTCGTGAGCCCAACCGGAGGAAAGCTTGTGTCCGATTCGGGTTACGGTAGCCAAACCATTCGGAGCGTGGGCAACCCGTCCTCAGTGTATAATGGGGACGTCGACAACCCAGAGACGCAAAACATCACACAGCAGTTTAGTCGCTATGGTCTAAGCCAAGTCACGACCGACGACAGGACACGCCGCTGCGATGCTCGAAGTCAACGGGCGAGCTCCACCACTTCGACTGCTAACAACCTCAGATGTCTCGATTGCCCACAGCTCACCTTCAAGACAAACTCGGAGCTCAGGTACGTTGCCGGTATTGGCTCACTCGGGGTTGATCAGACTTTGCTGATGCAATATTGCTTGCCAGGAAGCACAAAGCACGGCACGAGAAGCCGTTCAAATGCGATATGCCAGATTGTCCCAAGGCAACCGAGGGATTCAGTACTAACAACGACCTGGATCGCCACAGGGCGGGCGTCCACAGGATCTACAAGAGTGATGCACCTGTCTATCAATGTGTTATCGACTCGTGCAAGGACAAGAACAAGACGTGGCCGAGGCCAGACAACTTCAGGCAGCATCTGAAGCGAGTACATCACAAGGAGAACATGGACTTGTCCAACTTTTTGTATCGGTGCGTTACCTTGTACTCATCAACAGTTCTAGTTGGGAAGCTAACATTGTTATCGCCAGTGGCCGCCCGGATATCGGCGGTGCTTCGGTTGCCTCCGAGCACGCGCCTTCGGAAGCGGGAACACACTCTACCTATGCTGGTCAACATGCATCATGGAGCGGACTAGGACATGGCCAGCCCATGACGAGTCTCTCCCATCATGTGCCTGATGAACCTGCGGTGATCCAACCACAGCACCTGATGTACCGCTCATCAATGAGCCAGCCGGATTACTCTGCTCTCATGAACGCCTCTGGATTCCACAGCCACCAGAGCCAAACCGGACTGGATGACCCACGTATCCCCATTGAGATGGATCTCCAAGGACTGAACATTCCACATGGATTCCAGCAGCAGGTTGAGCCCCCGGTTCAGGAGCAAACCTTGGAGCAACCAGGACATGTCTCTCCGGATATTCTGACCGGTGCCGGCAGCGGACTTTTGCCTTCGATGGATGAAGCGGGTGAGATGCACGCCCACCCCGCCGAGGTGATACAGATAGACGATGACACCAGCCCGGACAATATCATGCAGGAAGAAGAAGAAGATGATGATGATGAATTTGCGGAGCAGCAGCAGCAGCAGCAGCAGCAGCCCAAAAATGAACCTGTGACTTTAACTTCCATCTCGCCAGACCAGATGACTCTGGATTATTCCAGAAGACAGTCGGCCGCCATGGTGGGTGATGAGGAATCTGAAGCTGGGGAGGAGGACAACGAAGTCTCTGAACAACAGGACTCGTCCAATCTTGAAGAAGACGCGAGCCGGCTCCAGCTTCTTGCTGCTGCGGCGCCATCTCCCGAGCCTACTACTACCACCACTACTACTACCACCACCACCACTACTACTACTGCCACCGGGCAATCACCGGGGGGTGTTGTCTCGATAGATTTGGGGGATGTGGAGAACCTCAAGGCGACGTTGGAGATGCTCAGGTCACGGGGGATGCTGGATAGGATTGTGAAGGAGTTTGGGTATCAAAAGTCGGAGGAGGTGGTGGTTCTTAACAACACGACGACGACGACGCCGTCTGCGCCGTCGTCTGTTGTTGCCGAGGTTACGAAGGAGGTCAAGTGCGAGATTGATGATTGCAACAAGGTTTTTTCGAGGCCTTGCGAGCTTAAGTATGTCCCCTCCCCGTCCCCAAATTCAGTATCAAGCGACTAATTCTTTTCGGGGTAAAGAAAACACCAAAAACGCCACGCGAAACCCTACGCCTGCACATTTTCAAATTGTGACAAGCGTTTTGGGAGCAAGAATGACTGGAAGCGACACGAAAACAGCCAACACTTTCAGCTGGAGATTTGGCGGTGCACCGAGCAGGTTTTTTCTGCCGCTGCTGCTGGTGAGGGGGGTTATGAATGCGGCAAGGTTTGTCATCGCAGGGAGAGTCTAAAGGGGCATCTGGAACGGGATCACCAGTTTCGCGACGGGGAGGAGATTGAACGGAAGCTGAATGATTACCGACATGGGAGGAACTTTGAGAGCAGGTTCTGGTGCGGGTTTTGCGTCAAGACTGTCGAGCCACGCGGGGTCGGGGGGCCGGCGCACAGCGAGAGGTTTGATCATATTGATCGTCATTTTATGGGGAAGGGGGGGTTTGAGAAGGTTGATATTGGGAATTGGAGGAGTTTGAGACCTAAAGGCCAGCAGTCT